ACCACTCCGCCACCCCTTCGCTGTCCGTACCGAGCCATGCAGCTACTAGCCGAATATAAAAACGAATTCATGTGTATTTGCAGAATAAGAGAGAGAGGGAGGGAGGGAGGGAGGGAGGGAGGGAGGGAGAGAGGGAGGGAGAGAGGGAGGGAGGGGAAGGTAGACGAAGTTATACGAGTAGCACAGTGGCAGCCAGTCGACAATGGGCGGTTTGCAAACTACCGAACACATCATTAAGTTGATGTTCACACTTTGCTTGAGATTCTTCCTGCGACCAGTCTTCCTTTACGGTACCCGTCGGAGCGTACGAACGGCGACGGCGGCGGCGGCGGCGGCGGCGGCTGACTGCTGTTGCGTCTGCTAGTGAACAGCAGCTGCTGCTGATGATGAGGGTCAGCACCAGCGTCTATTACGGGCGAACAAAACGGTGGATAGTGAACATGTACACTGCGCCGTCACTGCCAAGCGACCGGTAGCCGACAGAGCGAAATGCGCCAAAGTCATATGGATCGGGCAGACAAAAAATACTACTTGTTTATCGTATTTATTAGATACGTAAGAAGAGGTTTCGGTTAAAACTAATAGGAAGAGAGAGGGTCAATGGAGAAGTTCTGCTGTCCATCTCTAAGGTAAGGCTAATCCCACTTAATTAACCTAATTAAAATCACTTAGTTAACACTCATGCAATGTCAACTGAGTGAGTGAGTGAGTGATAAATAATGCCAATACGAGAACCCATCTAAGTCACGTCGATTGATGTAAAAAACGTGATAGATCAACGGCTCGATGAAGATGTACATTCGAAAACAATTTTCAACTCCGGTTTATTTTTCTATATATTTCAAAGGTTTCCTTCAGGTAGATAAGTCGAGCGGTTAGTAAGACAGCAGACTGGATGACCAGGCTGTCGGCTTGTGCGTAATCGAATAATACCGACATTCCGGCAGTATCACGCTTTCTAGCATATTTTTGTATAAAAGAAACAATCTTTAATCTAAGATTCTACGATTGTCTGTATTTCCTCTCCGTGCCGTCCAAGGGTCTTCCGTCAAGAATAATCTATAGGAGTTAATGAGTCGTTCATTTTTCTTGCTTGACGGCTGAGATGTTGACGTAAGGATCCAATTAAATGTACACGCTTGTTTCAATAAAATTTTCGCAGGACAGAAGATTATGGATGCTGTAGACCTTTTGAAAAAGTCTTGAAATGTTAAAGAAAATCAATTCGTGAATTTCCTCGTGTAATCTAGCTTATTTACGTATGTCCACTCTTGAAGTTCGTCCCGTATAAAGCGCACGTTCGTACGAAAAAAAGACGCTGGACAATTATTTAGCAAATAAATTTTGCACATTTTTCCAATCAGTCCATAAGGTCTACCAACTAGAAAAAATTCATGTATTGCTCTACATTACGAAAACTATCTCGTCCTACGTATTTTTTTTTTTTTTTTATCTTTGCCGTGTCATTTCTAGTCTATCAGTATTACCGTTAGATTGTGCACACCTATCTAGCAACACCTACAATCCTTGCTTCATTTGAAATTAGCGCGATTTATCTTTGTGTTGCTGTGTACCATTAACTCTGATCATTGTAGTCGCCATGTACTTCCACCATCGTTACTCACTTGTATTACTCCCGTTTTCTTTGAAGAAGCCAGCCGGTCAGCCAGACAAGTATTATCATACGTGCGCGGGCTGCCCCGCCATTGCTCGCTTGTAAATCATGCCGGTTTCAGGTCGCTTTTACCCATTTCTCGATGTAGTTGCTATGTAGTACTTGTATATCCGAAGTTCGCGTGATTACTTTCGCCTTTGTTGTAGAGGCCAACGCGGGGCCTGCTGTTGCTGCACTGCAGTAGTCGGACCGGGTCGAAGGCGATCCGACCCGTACTTGGCGGACAGTTGTCATCGACGTAAGTCCGTCTTTTCATCAGGCAGGACATGGCCAGTCGAGATGTGCCGTCTGCACCGGAAAGACTATGTGACGAGTTTCATCTTCAATTCTAATAGGTGAGCAGGATTGTTGTAGGTCTCCGCAACAAACTGATATCATGTTGGTTTTCCGCTGCCGCACTCATCGCCGTCGTGTGGTTATGCTCGTTACTAAAACCGTTGTTGCCTGCGGATAGAGAGAGTTCATTCATTGCCAGTGGTCGTCAAGAACATTGTTCTGTTTTGTTCGCATTCGACAGTCTGGACACGATAGACAACGGGACAAAAGAAAGCGAGCGAAAATGGACGCAGTCTAGATTTGATCATATGGATGATGATGGAGGCATTGTTATTCTGTACCTAGCGAATAGGCAGGCCGTGATGTCCTAGCTACCGGACAAGCAGCAAAGTAACATTCAGTTCGAACATTCGCGACTGTCCTCGCATCTCTATCGACACCAATGGCGATTGAAGGCTAGGCAAGCTTAATGTACGCTAGCTAGCTTTCGTTAACTTCGAGAGAGAGACTGGGAGTTCTTCGGCCAGGCAGTTTTGGGGACGCGAAGTCCTTCGATGCGCGACGACCCGCGTCGTCGTCGGCGGGGGCGGCGGTAGCGGTCGGCGCGATGTCATATAAATGTCGGTTTTATTAGCCGTGTATACGTTACAGGTAGACCGATACCCCCATTTTACCCCCGCGACTATACATAGCTTGAAGGTATATATTAGACTATGTTTGGCTAGCTCGACGAGTAAGTCAGGTAGACAGGCAATGACACTTTAGCGTGACTTGATAGATACTAAGAAGACTACTGCTTCTTATGCTATTACTAATACCACTGCTTCGCCGTATACCTGTATTCTGTTGTATAGATATATAGGTATATATTCTTTGAGAATAACTCGCTGAAAGCTTGTTAAATGTGAGCTTAGGACCCTCGTAAGGACGTATAGGAGTATCCTATTGTGGGGAAAAGCGAAGAGTGGACGTGTGGCGTAACAGAAACTTGGGGTTGTATTGATGTCACCTGCATTGAAGACTACGCAGATCTAGGCCATACAACCGACCAATGATGTATTTAACGGCCAGAGCACAGTGTGTTATCAATCAGTGTTTTTTTATATATTCTATCATGTGTGTAATGCGGGGATCGTACTGTTATACGATGCATTATCTAGCGACTGTGTAGCATGCGCAGGATAATGATGGCTGGCTATTTGTCTCTTAAACACCGGATGGTGTGAACACGAGTTGGCTTACTATTTACGTAGATGGACACCAGTTGTAGCTTTGAAGTAGAATTTTATTGTAGTTATCAGCAATGATTTAGCAAAGACGTGATAATGATTTTACAGGCAAACAGCTCTTCAACTATTTCTCAAACAGAAAAATTGTGTTAACAGCCTTCGCCTAACAAAAACAAAAAGTCGAAGTGGATATGCATTCGATGTAGTTACGTCGTACATATTTAGTTTATCGAAGACAAGCTGAAAGCATATGCTCAAGTTGAATAGATGGAACTCTAGCCATGTGTCAGTATTGCCAAAAACAAAAAACACCACATGTTGCATCTCATCAAAACAAAGAAGGCTGTGCCGCATATCGTAACAAAATCTCACTCTTCTAGGAGTAACCTCGATTCGCGTATTTTATAATGACCCTCAGCACTTAGCGAATATATATTTAGTAGAACTCTTAGAAATAGAATATTATAATGTTATGACGGGAACTTTCGTTGAAAATGTGTAACAGCAATGAAGGATGCTGTTCTTTTTGGTGGCCATCAAAAGGTCCTGTTACCACGAATACAGCCATAATGGAAGTGTCGTAGCTTAAGCAGCCAATGCTACCTTTGCATTTCTTTAGTTATTCCAATAAGCCATCTTCTACATATATTCTAATTATATATGATGAACTATTGAGTTATCAAATCCAACGAATACTTTCCTCCGGCAGGCGACCGTGCAACAAACTGAGGACTTGGCCTCGTTACCTTTCCCGAATATCCGAACTAAATGGACGGAAAAGCTAGAGATGTTTAACACGGATAATTATGATCCTCTACCGGTGTATCGGGTACTAAGTCCAGACGGAACTGTTATCGATCTTGCGCATGAGCCGAAGGTCGGAATATGTTTCCATTGGATATTGATTGTTTCTTCCTATTGTTTTCTCTCATGTAACCATTGAAGGGTCATTTAGCAGTTTTACTTCTGGTATGAGTCAAACTTGGTCAACCATTACGCTACCTCAAAATGATATTCTATCAATAATTTTGATCATAAGTAATTCTATGATTACACTGTTCTATGATTTTATGTTCGCTGCTATATTTCAGATCCCGGACTCAAAACTGGTTAAAATGTTCGAAGGAATGCTAACGCTTAACGTCATGGACCATATTTTGTATGAGTCTCAGCGACAGGGTAGGATCTCGTTCTATATAACGAGTTTTGGGGAGGAGGCAACGCACTTCGGCAGCGCTGCAGCACTCGAAAGTAACGACGTTGTTTTCGGCCAGTACCGAGAAACCGGTAGGAAGGACCAAAACCAAAAAGGAACAAATACTCGAATGTGCATCTACAATATGCACCATTTAGAAAAAAATATGGTTAAAAAGTATATCATGTCACGGCGCCATACTTGTGTGTTGGTATGCTTTAAGTACGTATTTTGTACAAACACGTCTCACAAACAACAAGTAATTGTCAACGTCGCTTCAAGATGCATTTAATATTAGATATAGCTTGACCTTTCGTCTTTTTCGCGCGGCTGCGATTAATTGGGCGATAGAATCTATCCCCTCAACTTATACGTCAAGAACGACGACTTTTTATCACCACAACACAGCTCTAACGCTTAAATTAAAAATATTATATCTACTAAAAAAAACAAAAAGCACATATGCGTAAACACAAACACGGACAGATCATTCAAAAAATTCATATAGATTGTTATGTCCTCAGAGTAGAATAATCTAGCATAGAAGAAAAGGTTTTCCAGCTAATTTTTGTGCTGAACATTTTCGTACATCTCAATGATGTTTTCTGCGAAGGACGTCTACTCATTTTAGAGCGACAGTAAAGAAAAATACATTGCAATTTCGTTGTCATATGACATCGCTGCGTGTAAAGCGCTAAAACGAAACGCAGCGACACGATTTACGTCCTGCTCCTTCGAAAAAAAAAAAACGTAACGAGCCAGCTAGGCAGCCCTTAGCACAATGAGTGCTTAGTAACGGACAATGTGGATCCAGTTCCAAGCGCCTTCCCCCCCCCCCCCCAATGATGACTTCCCCTGAATCTGCCACTTCGTCGCAATCTAAGTCTGTTCTCTAAACGTTTTCAACCAACCCAACCGCTCGTCGTCTTCATAACTGGTCCTCACGTCATTGCTGTCGCTCTACTTCGTCCATCTCTGTTTTCCTGCATTCGTACGACGATTGAGGACTACGAAAGACAACAGTGGCGAGGGCAAAAATGCCCTCTTTGTCATAGAACAGCTAGCTTCTCCTATCCTATAGCAACTATACCGCAACATTTCTATGAACGCCAGTACGCCTACTATAACATACTACGGAACAGAGAAGCAGACCGACAGGAAGAACAAATTCTGAGAGTTTATGGTGACAAGGGTATAGGAAAGACGAAGGCCAGGACACCACTGTTGGCCTGGCTGGCCTGCTGTCAGTGGACTCGTGGCAGACGGAGCGCCTTACAAGACTATGCTGGTCCATCCAGGATTGCGAATGTATCTGGCGCTCGAAGCGAATACACAAACAGTCGCAAAGCGCAGGCAAGGAAACCTATGTATGTGAAAGGTGAGTCTTGAGTTCGCCTATCGTGGTATCCTTGTAGTGTGCACAGTCACTTAGCACATTCGTACAGTCACCGCGCTGCTTTGTCGTTCCTTCGCCTGGATCGTACGGATCTACTTTAGCTGCCGCTGTCCTTGTCTAATACGCAACTAGCCGGCTAACGAAAAGGAGGACCTAGCTAGGCGTTCGCCGGCCTAGGGGCGCTCTCGAGGTCGGCGAAGAAGGTGAATCAGGGCGCGGCTCCCTGATCACTGAAATGCTCGTTATTCCTTTTTTCGTCCTCTTCATTTCGTCGAGCGGTTGGTCATTTGGATAGTGTTGCCTCTGATTCGCTTTTTTTTCACCTGCTACCTTTTTCTACTTAGACCCTATCTGTAATTCTCCAGTAACGTCCCTCTTTTGTTAGGTACAGCCGCACCGTATGTCACCAACCAGCAGCGAGACCAGCGGCGGCGACGCGATGACCACAGTAACGCGCGTCAGAGCATTTTAGCCGTTTGCTGAGCGGTCCCATTCAGGGGGCCAGAGGGGAGATAAAAGTGGGTGTGGTGTTCCCCAAGGCTCCCCACCTGCGTACCTCTAAGTGCTCTACTCTTCGTTTTTAGGCTTCGTACTTCCTTTAACTACCACCTCCACCGACTGCTCATCGACCCAATCTAGACCATAGTGTGCGTTGGGTAATACGAGGACAGTCCAGAATTGTTCAGCCATTTGCTGACCATTTGTTTGACGCCAGTTAGTTAGCTCTCGCTCTGGGAAGAAATAGAGAAGTGATAGAAAAGCATAGAATGGCATGGAAGGATAAAGAGGTTAGAGGAGTTTGGTCGCTTGGCCAGCCGGACACGTAAGATGAAGTTGAGAGTAAAAAAACGGGGAAAAGAAATGAGCGGGAAAGTCATTGGGCATACATATATATATATACAGAACACATGCTGTTTTGTTTTCATCAGTACTGACGAAATTAACGACTTGCGACTGTTTTTTTCCTTAATTAACAGTAATTAATAGGTTAGAGTAATTGTCGAAAGAGTTACTGAACGATGAAATAAGTATTTACGAACATCTGCTTGGAATAACAAGTCAATAGGCATGGTGTCGCAATGTTGTTCAGCATGTTGTTTTTTTACCTTGACAAAAATCTTCCGACTTTTTTCGTTAAGAAATGAAAACAAAAGGCATAAGATAAGGGCGTAAAAACTTTGACGTTTCTCAGACAACTTATTTTTTCCATAAATGACTCAATTTAGGAATATAGTTTTCGCTCTGTTATTTTGGGATTTTTGACAAAACGAGTAGTAATTAAGCCGCACACCAATTAGCATAACAGGTAAAAACAAATTATTATGAAGTATTGCCTTTACCCAGAGGAACAGACCAATCTTTTCCTGCAATTTGTCCTTGGCACCAGAACGTGCAGGTGTCAAGCCAGCGCTTACAAACAGGCATCTGCCAAAGCGAATTTCAGTCTTTTATTTTCGAAAGTCCATATTCAGAGATCAAGAACCTTTTTTACCATCTTCACGCTTGTTTTCTAGCGAACACATAGTAAGGCTAGGATAACAAATCAGTAAACACATAGTCAGGCTAGGAGACCAAATGAGTGCGATTTAGCTGATACGGTAATTCGGTTTTTCTGCTTCGCGTTGCCTGTTTTTCAGATCGGATACGATCAGATTCAAATGTTTCCGCGGTTCTTTCACAGCTTTACAGAAGACCGACCCTCATCGACGCGGTTCGCCGCCGAAGACTATCCATTTTACCTGCTACCAGCTAAGCAGTTCAGAAACAACCATGAATATTCTTTTCGCTCTTTTCTGCGCTTATTGTCAGCCTTCTGGGACGCCCGTTTTTACATAATGCAGTTCTGCATGTTCCCCTCCATTAAGTACGCTGATTTTTCACCATTATCCTTTTTCTGCGACCGCCCATCGTGGCCCACTACTGGACCATTTTTTTGTGTTATTACCACGTGTTTTTTTTTTATAATATTACAGCTTTTTTAATATCTCTTCAATTCACTAGTTGTTGATTTAAAACAAAAAGACACGGCCGAATGTCTACAACGTACACCCATTCGGTCATCTGGCAGCTACCTAATGTTCCTTTCATCTGGTCATCTTAATTTCTAATAATTACATATGTACGAAATAGTTCAGACATACAGGCAGGCAGACAAACAGTGATACAATCAGACACAATCGTCTGTCAACTCCAGTATTCTCTTCGGAACGCTTAAATAGCACATGCTTTAAGAACGAAACATTACCCATAGACCAACACAGCACACGAGTCTCGTTTCTTTTTTCACCGTTATCTCACTTGCACTGCCATTGAGAATTATCGCTTGTATCATTAGTTGCTTTGTCCTCTGTTTGCTTTCTGTATATGTGTATGTGTCTGTGTGTGTGTATGTGTGAGTGTTTGTGTGTGTATATGTGTTTGACCGATTTAATCCTAGCAATTCATGTGCAATATTGTTTTTGCTATCTGCTGTTCTCCAAAGCGTCACGTATCTATGTAGATGTCTGCTGTCGCTATTGTTATTGTCGACACTTGTACTTCGTTTCAAGGAAACGCTTATTCTGTCTTTTGTGGGTCACGCTTTTGAAAGCGATTTTTACGTTTCTGTGTTGGAGTTTTTTGCCATTGCTCTTTTTTTTGTGTTAGGCTATCATACGCTTTCAAATCATAATCACTCTTGCTTGTACTACTATTAAGTATATATAATTGCGTTTTTTTTTTACAAAGGGAAAAACCGTCCTGTAAGCTGTGTTCCGTGTCCTAGCCGGCCAGCGGATAGAGACGTTGCTGCTAAAACTCCCACGAAGCTTGCTGCTGCGCCAATTGTCCAATGGCAGAAATGCCTGAAGGACCGGGCTCAGAAGCCGTTTGGGTTGCCGATGAACAGTCGTCGCTCATGTTTTCTATCAAGCCGGACATCGGTGGTTCCTCTGCGTCGAAGTCCAACACCTTGAACAGCAATAAAAAGACGAAAAAGTCCAAATCGTCAAAACGTAATTAGATAAACGGTGTGGTTCGCAATTGTTTAAGGAAAGAAAACCCGACACATGCAACAGGACCAAGATGAAGTTTCGTGGAACGCGTAGCGATATCCTGTTAAAAGTGATTTGGGAATGAATTTATATTCTTTTCCCACAAAAGTACATACTCTTATAAACATACCACACAGCTGCTAACCCGACCAAAGTGTGCCTCTTATCTAGTTATTTACAAGCAAAGACACCTTCGAAGTTACAAAGGTCCTTGCTTACCAATAACTGCGTCTCTTCTGTGCCATTCCGCGAGCCGACGGCCGCTACCAGCTTTGTTTGATCAGCCCGAATTCGCCACACCACGCCACCACTGCCACCGCTCTTCAGACAGACGAGATCCCGTATAAATTCGCCCGTTTTCAGGTCCCACAGTTTAACGGTACCATCATCCGACGACGTGATGACGAACTTGGAGTTGAACTGAAGGCAAGTGACTGCCGACTGGTGTTTTGACGGACCCGCCAACGTTTGTAGGCACTGGCCCGTCGTAATGTCCCACACCTTAACTGTACTATCGGCATTTCCCGAGACCAGGATATTGTCCCGCAATTCCATCCCTGATGTAAGACTCTGATGGCCAGTTAAAGAATGCTTGCACTCGCCAGTTTCGACGTCCCACACACGAATCGACGTGTCCAAGCTGCCGGACACGACGTGGGTGCCGTCGAACTGTAGCGAATAGACGCGATTCGTGTGGCCTTGTAATGTGTGAAGGCATTCTTCGCGCCCTGGTTGCCACACCTTCACCATGTAGTCATAAGCGCCAGATACGATTAATCTGCCGTTGAATTGGACGCAGCGTACGGCAGCCACGTGACCGACGAACACACCGAGACAAGCCCCTGTCGTGATGTCCCACAGACGAAGCGTTGCGTCACGTGAACCTGACACAACTCTAAAAAAAGAATGGAAGTTAGAAAAAGCATAACAACATAACAGCATTAAATATATTATATAGCTTCTAAGTAAGCGCTACGCTAGGGCCGCGGTAGGTGGGCACAGTTCAGTGAATTGTTTTACCTGTCACCATGTAGATGCATACATCGTACTGTCGATGTATGACCATAGAGGACATGTGTGCATTCACCCGTTTCAGAGTTCCACACTCTAAGAGTCCGATCTGTCGAACCTGAGATAACGGTGCTTGCGGACATTTGCGAGGACCACACACCACCCGTATGGCCTATGAGGACACGCAAGCATTGGCCTAAAGGAAGGGATGACGATAAATGGGAAATTAGCGTCAAAAAACAGAGAGAGTAGTCTAGTGGCCCTTAAAAACACATACCTTTTCTGCAGATTACGCAATGAGCTCAATCGATTCAATAGGAAATTGCTTTAAGTGACGTTTAGCAAGAGTATGCACCTTAGCGAAAATCCGTATTTTAAATAATCCCTTAAATATAATAGGAGCATTTGTACTATGGTGTATTAAATCATCCTGTAGTTACCTGTAGTTGCGTCCCACACTTTAAGGGTGTTATCATCACTACCGGATACAATTCTGTTGCCAGCGAATTGCAAGCAAGTAACGACGTGGTCGTCGTGACCCTTCAATGACTTTGGACTTCGCAGACGTCGAGACCGCCAATTCAATTCAATAGCATGAAGTCGCATAAACGCTCGTTTCCAAGTATTTGATACAGTCTGCTGGATAAAAACAAAGGCGATTATATACCAGATGTATATGATTAGCCAAGCTGAAATGGTCGAATGAGTATCACTCAAAATGTGGGGACCCTTCAGTATTGTGCTACTAATTGGGATGATCGATTTGTTTGCATATAACAAATACACAATCACTACTAGCTTATCGCTCGCTGTATATGGAGGTGACTCAATGAATAGTGACAAGTTCGGATTATTCGACCTTTTTTTTTCGACATTAGCAACCCATCTCTCTCTCTCTCTAATATTATAT